AGCTTTGCTGTAGGGGGAACAAGTAGTAAATCATAGAAATGGATCTGCAGGTCTCCTTTGTTGGTACAACCACACTACAGATTACATTTAAGATTAAATGGAGATTGGGCACAATCAAGCCCTCTGCAAGGGAAATGTCTTTTTTTTCTATATTTTTTGATCCTATCATAAATGTACCAATTACTTCCAACCTCTGTCTCTCATTTTAGGTTGGAGTAATCATAAGATTTTTGTAGGAAATTGCATTAGTAATTTTATTACATCTTTAGACATACTTTTGTATGTTAAAATTTAAATTTATTATTTTACAGCAGTATTGCTTCTCTGGATATAAAGCATTTTAGGAACATCATTCTGAAAAAATATTCTCTCAGATTTATCATTCTAGTGTTTTGCATGTCCTGGTATCTAGAAATGACTCTTTAAATACTTTTAGATAACCTTAGCTGAAAAGAAAACAAACCCTCAACTCGGATAACAAATGGCCAGGAGCACATTATTTTCTTTAAAATAAAAGCTCTTTCCTTACTCTGTAAATCAAGCTGGAAATAATGTCTTCTGCTGTCTTTTCTTGCCTTACAACAGTAAAAAAACAATTTATTTGATGCCATATAATGCAGCTAAATTAGAAGACAGCAGGTTGGTGAAACAAATGTTTTCCAAGGAGAATATCTTTTCTCCTAAAATTCCAGGGGGAGAAGGTACGGCGTATTATCATTAGTTTTCCCAACTCCCCTCCTCTCCTTCTCTACACCAGATTCTCTCAAGGTTAATTTGAAATGGTATAAAATGCCATATTCGTGGGAGGAGCTGTTATCTTTTCGTTTCAAATAAAGAGATGTACTTTGGAATTTCTCCCCTTCATTACTCGGAAGCACCAGAAAGGCCGGCACAGCTTACACCAGAGGGCAATAGTGAGCTGTAAATCTTTTCTCTCTCACCTCTGCCTTCTCCGTGGAAGCTCTTCTTTTAGGCTCCTCTTCTCCCCTAACCATAGGCGGTCCTAACAGTGTAAAATCTTGCACAATAGGACCAAATGCAATGATGAGCTTTTTCCACTGTTCTCAGAATTTTCTGTATTTATAACAGATAGATGAAATTGGTGACTTTCATGACTCCATAAAGTTACTCACCGATTAGTCTGAACCCAGCATTCAGGCTTCCCTGCAGCGCTAACACTTCCTCCTCTAAATCTGCACTCAGTCAGCTCTTTGGAGTAAAGGCTCTTGCCAGAATTGGTAATATCGAACAGGAGGGAGCAAGTATAGAATTTTACATATTTTGCTTTGGAATTCTTTTAAAGGCAATTTAAACCCTCCTCTTCAGAGACCAGGGCATTGCTAAATGTAAATGTTATACCTTGTTTCTAGATGTAGAAGCACAGTACAAGTGGCAGAAAAGATGAAAAGTAGTGAGTAGGAAAAAAATCAGGAAAATATAAGAGGGAAAAATTTATGTTTCATTCTTAAAATTATGTCATAGTTTTCTAAATAAAGAAATTTTGCCTTACAGTTTCTAAAAAAACTAAGCAGCCTTTCTGTGTTTTTAAGTGCTCTGTGTCTTGAATTGAATGACATTTCTAAACCTAAGTTTCATCTATCCCAGATTTTTAAAAGTAGTGTATAACTATCAGGGGACTGCAAGTCCTTTATTCATTTGACCTCTGTCTTTTGTCATATGGATTTTTTTCTGCTTATGCTGGCTGCTGGAATTAAGCTTTTCTGACAAAGTTAGAATGGAGGAAGAAAATTTTCCCATCCATTTTGCATGAGGGTAAAGATTTAGGGAACAAGTAATTTTGACCTTATATGTGTACATTTTTACATATATCTAACACATTTTTAAGCACTAATAAGAGGGGATCTCCATGAGACAGGAGTATATTGGTATATTGTTAATGGTTAAGGAGTGCTTGGGATGTAATTTTTCCCTAAGCTTTTCTTTGGTGTCAGTTTGGTATTAGGGAAGTGGTGTTTTGGTTTTTGGGTATTGTTGTTGGGTTTTCCCCCCATAATCATTGGCATTGCACTTTAAAGGAGTTATTAAAGTCATCTCCAAATAACATTGAGGCACTGTCCCCAAATACCAGACCAGGATGCCTGATGTGATGGTGGCTACCTTCACTATCTTCTGAACATAAGTTCCTACAAATGCCTGCCTAATTGTCCTTTATCTATCTGTGTGACCACAGCTGTTAGAGACAAACCCTCAGGTTATGAGACTGTGACAAGTCAAGGGTCCTAGCTGCCATTGTCTCTTTTGCCTTAAGTTTTTGTGGTGGAGGACAGGAACTCTGAAGTTGTTCCTTAATTGACTTTTATATTTAATAGACTGCCTTCCATTACATCAGTCTGCCCCTCAGGCCATGCTGAAGTCCTGATTGATTTCTAACAGCTTTTAAAGTTAATACTGTAGCCTCCTGCTATTTTTCAGTGCTTTTGATTGGTGGTTTTCTGCATCAGCTTCCAAACTCTTACCCAGATAGTGAAATAGTTTGAGTGTTTCTGATTGGGAAACACTGCAGGGAGGGAAGAAACCCAATATTGTTTTTTTCATGGCTTTTAATTGGAAATGTCACAGAAAAGCATCCCCACAAAGCTGCCTAGATAAGTCAGTCATCAGTTCTGAGGACTAGGGACTAAGCCCTAGGATCTCATTAATGGGCTCAGAGGATCCAACATTTACAGCTGTGTCCAGAAAAGTCTGCTTTTGCTATTGCTGCTTTTCATTAATTTGTGAAATATTGCAAACCACCTCTGGTCCAGATAAACTTCAAATATAACTCTTCTTGTAACTGAAAAACATCTCCCCCACCCCAAAAATGCCTGCCCATCTGGCTGTGCAGCAGAAGCCTGAGGGCCATGCTGTAAATTACAATTCAGCTGCTGATGCCTGGATTCTACCCCTACTTGGCCACCTAGAATTATAGAATCCTTAATTTTGGAATAGGCCTCTGCAATCTTGGGAGTCCAACAATTAACCTAATACTGCCAAATCCACCACTAGACCATGTCCCTGAGTATGTTCCCAAGCACTACATCTACCACTCACCTTGGAGAAACTATTAATAACACACATCACGCCTGGGAACTTATAAGAGTGTGGAATGGGTGTGTTTATCCATCACAGGTGAAGCTTGCTGTGTACTGGCTGTCCCAGCAAGAAGAGAGGAGCAACCAAAAGGGGCTGAGCTCAGGCTTGGTCAGACTCTGACACAGATCCAAAACAATCTGCGGATTTTGGGCTGATAAACCAGCTCTTTACACAGACTGGCGCCTTCCCGGTGCTGGCGGGAGCGAGGAGCAGATGTCCCTGTGGCAGCTGGCAAAGCTGCCTCGAGCTGCTCCTGGCTGTGCTGATGCCAGGCTGCCGTGGCAGCGCTTGTGGCCGATGCTCTGCGCTTCGGTGGGGGTCACCCAGCTGCAGCCTCCTGCTCATGGCGGCTCCCTCCTGGCTCCTGCCCCATCCTGGCCTCCCTGCTGGGCCAGGACTGCCTGCTGTCCCTGGGTAGCTCTCAGCTGCCAGCTGGAGAGACTGCTGAATGAGGCAGTGGTCAGGCACAGCCTCCTGGGCAGCTCTCCCCTCAGACTGCTGCAATTACCAGTTGTCTCCACCCTGATTAGAAAAGAAAACAGCTTTCCTCAGTCTGGCCTTCAGCCTGCAGTTCGTACATGCATCTTCCCTTGGCAACTGGTTTTTCTTCTGCTGATGGCACAGTCTCCAGTGAAATCCGTCTCACAGTAATGAGAGGAAAACTCTGAAATCCTCAGCAACTCATGCCTCGCCTGGTGGATAGTTTTGCTGCTCTGTGCTTTCAAAACACAGTAAAATAATAATTATCCCTTGCTGCTCTCTTTGTGGTTCTTAAAACATACTGCCTTCATTTAGGGAAAATGGCATTGGTTGAACCCCAAACACAGGAAGTTAGTCTCAGAGCCAATATTAGAGCTTGGGAGCTCTGGCTTTTGACCTCATACTCAGTCCACCAGGCCATTTAGCTTCCTTAGGAAGCAGAAAACTACCACTCTACAAAGTGTATATATAATGAAATGTATCAAGGTCTTCAAGAGGGGAAAAAGCAAAATTCTCCAAGAAACAAAAACATCTCTCCTGTAGCAGTGAGAATCAAATATCCAGGCAGTTGCATATCTACGCAGGATTGGATTCACTATGGAGTTGATAAATGTTGATATTGCCAGAGAGCATTTTTTGAAACAAACTTTTCATTAAGGTTTTGGCTGCATTTTCTCTGCATTTCTATGCCTTATTCTTATAAAAAGTTGTGCCACATTTTTAGGCAGCCGTATGCAAAATACCACTGAATGACCTGGGGCCACCTGACAGGTGCTGTATTTATAACAACACAACATTTCTTATATAGACCACATATTACAGAGAAGGAGTGCTCCAAATATCACAAGTGGGTATCTTCAAAACAAGGAATAAAATGCATGCTAGCTTTTTGCATACAATAATGCAGTCTGTTAGCTTGTGTTGCTTACTGAATTTTGCCAGGATTGTGAGATAATAGAAAAGAGAAATAACAAAAAAAAGCCCCCCAAGCAAAAACAAAAAACACCCCCTAAAGCCTCATTTTACTGCAGCCTTATGTATGAAATTTTAAACCCACTGCTGTAAGTAAACATGATTTTGAATCTTCCATGATGCACATAGCTCAGTCTATTTCTGAAAGCTGAGTAAAAGGAAAGTCAGAAGAAAGCAGCAGATCACAGAGGTTGTAAGCTGTTTTTCGCTTTAAGAAGTTCCTTAATTTTCCTGGTAGCATATTCTTCTGATAAAGAAGAATAAACTAAATTAATGTATGATAGAAAAAGCCATAAAATGCTCAGTACAAGCTGCTTGTAAAGGATTCAAGTGTAAGCAGAGCAGCATTTCTAAGCCTGTACATTTATGGGCAGCAGCGTGATCTTCCTTGTGATGACAAATTAGCCTTTAAAAGTCACACGATCAAAAGCACGTCACTGAAACCTGGGCAAAGGTCAACAGGCTCTGAGTGGGAATCCTGCCGTGTTCCTGAAAGCATGAGATCATTTTCTCCATGATTGTGCTGTAGCATGGACTGTTTGAGAGGATTATCCATTGCTGAAGGGGTGTGTGACTGTAGGTGAGTGCATTGTGCGTGATAGAAGACTTGAGTGTTGCAAACCATGCATGGATTAAACGTCAGAAGCATTCAATTTAATGCTTTTATTTCTTAGAGGCTGTGTTCTTAATCTTAGTAACAGTGGCCAGCTGCAGTTCTGCAGAGAGAAGCATTACAGACGAGGAGAAAAATAAAACAACACAAGTGCTTTTCCCCTCCTCTCTTCCCTGGAGACAGTTTTGTATCCTGGGACAGTTGAAAGGCCAGACTTTAAGAGCATGGACATGCACTATCTTTTGTGGAATGTGCATGTGATCTTCCTTTGTATCACTGAGCAGGAGAGGGATGTTTTGCTCTTTCATCTGTGCGTAACTTGTCACCACTTAAATACAAATTGCAAATATTTTTAAAGACAAATGCATGCCCGAAAGGATTTCCCATCCTTCAAGTTGCTTATTGTTAATTGACCCAAATTCACTCCACCAACTGACAGCAATTTTCTTTTTCTGCTGTGTGAAATGTAGACAGTATACACCACCAAAAGCACATTGCTAATTCAAAACAAATGTTTTTTATAAAAATCCAAATAATTAAATATTATTTGATTGAGTGTCTGACAAAGCATATGTTCGCAAATTGGCTATAATGGTTTAAGTTACAACATAGGGCACAGATAAGGTCTTATGGATGGTTTTTCATATTAAATTTCAGCTCTGGATGTTGAAATTGCTATCATTATTATTATTATTATTATTGTCATATATGATATCAAATCACAGGTGTAATTGGAATTGCTCAGCCTGAAAAAGAGAAGTCTTATGGGTGACTTAATTGTAGCCTTCTAGCACCTAAAGGGAACCCACAAGAAAGATGGAGAGAGACTGCTTACTGCAGCAGTGCATGCAGTGTCAGGAGAAGAGGGAATGGATTAAAACTGAGAGATAGGTTTAGTTTAAATATTAGGAAGGAATTCTTTACTTTGAGAGTAGTGAGACCCTGGCATAAATTGCCAGAGAAGTTGTGGATGCCCCATCCCTGGAACTATTCAAGGCCAAGATGGACAAGGCTTTGAGCAAGGTCTAGTGGAAGGTGTCCCTGCCCACAGCAGGGGGTTGGAACTAGGTGATATTTAAGGACCCCTTGAACCCAAACCATTCTATGATTCTATACTTATAGAAAGTTGCATATGCATGTGTTCATATGTTTCTTTTGCTTGGATTTTAAAACACCCAGAATTGTTGCTAAATGTAAATACACAGATGCCTCTGTGTATTTTAATCATTGGATGTCTGTTTCCTGTGAGGTTTGTTATGTTCATGGAGTGATTCTTGGTCTAAGTCCTACTACATATTAGCATGGTTTGGGTGCTATAAAGGGGCACATATTTCAGCTGTGATTGTTGATCTGTGGTGCCTCTTTCTCTCTACTGTCTTTTAATTGAGGGCTGAGTGGTATCATGAAGGAGGGCTGGAAGCAATGCGGTGAAACAAATACGGCCATTTCAGAGGAGCAGAGTCTCCAGCTGAGTGGGCATTGTCCCTGTATGTCCGTGCCTTCCAAGATACCCTTACTTGAACACCATAAATGCAGTCTCATCCCCTGTTGATTTGCCAAGTCTGGGATGCAGCAATATCACCTCTCTGCTGCCAGCAGAAACTCTCCGTTGCTCCTCTAAAATTCTTGATTTCTCTCCTAAGTGGTGGCACTGATGAAACAGCGCAGATGGTGGTGTTTGGATACAATGTTTCAAATTGTGTCTATTTCTTAAGAACACAGTCTTGTCGTTGCATCCTTTGATCTCTTGTTTTGATTTTTTTCCCAGCAATTATAACTGTTCTATGTGGGTGTATAAACACTAAACCAGGTTTTTATTCAGTGCCCCAAAGACAGAAAGTAGCCCTTCCAATTAGTGTTTTCGCCACATATTGAGGGAGGAGAGCAAACAACCTTAATCCCTCTTTATCAAACATTTATTGATGATTGCCTGAAGAGAGCAAAATTAAGGAATCATAGAATCAGAGAACACCCTGAGTAGGAAGGGACCCACAAGGTTCACCAAATCCTGTCTCCACACAGAACAGACTAAACAGCAGTCATATATCTAAAAGCATTGTCCAAATCATTCTGGAATACTCACAGACCTGGGTCAATGACAACTTTTCTTGTGAGCTTGTTCCACTGCTTGAAAACGGTCTCAATGAAGAGCTTTTTTCCAATACCCAATCTGACCTTCACTGACACAGCTTTCAGCCACGCTGCTGCATCCTACTGCCAGAAATCAAAAAGAGACAAGCACCTTCTTCTCCACCCCTCCATTGTGGAGGAGGTCACCCTTCAGTCACCTTTTCTCTAAGCCCAACAAACTTAATATCCTCATCTGCTTCTCATAATGCAAGCCCTCTAGTTCTTCCACAATCTTTGTTGGCCTCCTTTGGACATGTTCTGTTGTTTTGATATACTTTTTATGTATTGAAGCCCCAAACTCTATTCAAGGTGAGGCTGAGTCTAGTAGGACAATCACTACTTTTGTCCACTTAGTTGTACTGTGCTTAATGCACCTCATGATGTAGTTGACACTTTTGATCTCCAGGGCCTAGTTTTAACTCATTATGAGTTTGCCATCAAGCAAAATCTCCAGATCCTTTTCTGTAGGGCTGTATTCCAGCCTTCTGTCCCTCAGTTTATACATATATCCTAGGTTACACCACCGAGGTACTGAATTTGGCACTTGCCCTTTTAGAGTTCATACAACCTGCAACATCTATCAAGATGTCTCTATAAGACCTCTCTAACCTTGAGGGAATCAATGGATCCTTCTAATTAAACACTGTTGGGAAACCTACTTAGTGTGCACCTTACTCCTGTGTCCAGGTCATTAATAGAAACAATGAAGAGAAGCAGCCCTAATACTGAGCCTTGGCAAACCCCACCAGTGACTGATTTCCACCCTGATGCTTCCCCATTTACCACAACTCTTTGAGTCTGACCCTCCAGACAACCATTTTCCCATTGGATTATGTATTTGTCTAGCTGCATGATGGACCTTTCATCCAGAGGATACTGTGACAGACAGAATCAAAGATTTTTATAAAAATGAAGCAACCCCACTCCCTTATTTTCCCTCTTCCCTTTGTCCACAGGAAAAAAGATCATATTGAAAAGATGTTGCAGTGCACTTCTGTGGCATGTCTCTGCTTCAAGGAACTGTTTGACTGTTTCTGGAGTATTTCAGCAGTGTAGCACAGTATATACAAAAATATATATATACACAGGAGCCTTCTGCTTCCTGCTGACACACCAGTCTTCTTTTGTTAAAACTTTGTAGAGCCTGTGTCCATTTGTTGCTGATTTCATACATTTTACACTTACAGAATTACAGTGATTTCAGTAGCTTAATAGTTTAAAGAGCTAAAGACAATAATCAGGCCTGACTAATGAAGAAGGCCAGTACAAGAACCCATTGGAGTTGTGTCAGAAAAAATGGAAAAGCTTATGTGGGTGTGAAAATACAACCTCTGAACTCACTGAGTCAGATGTCCCTACAATTAAACCCACAGCAATGTTCTGAAAATGTTCCCTTGCCACATTTTCAAGTACAGCATATTTGTGTAATAGGGCGATGGGTTTGCTATGCAAGGTTTTAGCAGCAAGGTGACTAATGAGGGATGGATTCTGTGGTAAAAAAACTAGAAGCTTCCCCTGTGTCTGACAGAACCAATGCCCACTGGCTCCAAGATGAACATGTTGCTGGCCAAACCCTTCAGCAATGGCAATAGTGCCTGTGGGGTAATGCATTTAAAAAGGGAGGAAGAAATGCTGTGTGATATGAGCAAGCAAAGAAAATACGTGAGAGAAACAGCCCTGCAGATACCAAGGTCAGTGAAGAAGAAAGGGAAGAGGTGCTATAGACATCAGAGAAGACATTCTCCTGTGCTCTGTGGAAAGACCATAGTGCAGAAGGGTCCTCCCCTGGAGGTCCATAGTAGAGGATCCCAAAAACTACAGAGGTCAATGTATTTGTTCTTACTTTCTTTTATTTTCCTGTATGTCTTTTGAAGGGCAGTAGGATTTCACTTACAATTCTATTTGTTCTATATATCTATAGTTCTATAGTTCTAATTATACTGTTCTCTGTGGACTGTATGTATCTGATATCTGTACCATTTATTAGCAAAAAAAACCACTTTATCTCTACAATGGTAAACAGGTACATGCTCCTGTAGTTCTTAAACTCTAAAGAGGTACTGAAGGGTTAAATACTTCATGAAGAGGTAGTAATATTTGCACTTCCGAAAGGTCTTCCTGACCTATCTTATGCTATACTGATGAGATTGTCTGGTAAAGAGAGGTCAGCATTAGCAGGCCCTTTTCTTTTGCATGGATGTTGAATGATACGTGATATTTCAGTTCTGCAATGCACAGAGGTTAATTTGCACAGGGGACTTCCTGCTTGAAAAGAACAGGAGGAATGTGTAGGCATCAGGAATAATTTGTCTATGAAAGGGTAGTTTTTTTGTTCATGTCTCAATTTTTTGCAGTTGAGTAATATGTTGACAGAAATTTTAGAACTTTTTATGATCTTACAATATGTTTTACATTGGTGTGGCAGCTGTGATTGATCTTAAGTAATTTTAACAGACATTTCAGGCCAAAAATAAATATTTTTTTCTTCCCTTTCATATTAGGCTGCTTTGGTTTTCTCTCAATTTATTCAACCTTTAGAAATGTTTATGTATTTTAACAGGTGTCTGCAAAACAAAGTCTTAATAAAAGACTTCTGACTCAGTAAATAACTGTTTCAATGGTGGTTCTTTGTGACTTAAAAACAAGCAATTTTTTAGAAAATGCCTTCAGGAAGGATACATTTTGGGATTTCTTATGTGTCACAGATTGAATTATTTCTTTATTCCCTTCACTTAAAAATAAATAATTAATATTTCAAATTATATTTAGTTTAGTAGTTACATTTTATTCTTTACTTAATTTTAGTAGTAATTTCAAGTCATCATAGTGAGATTTAGCCCTAGTACACTCTGAACACAACCCATAAATCAGGTTAAATGTTTGAGTCAGGGAATTTTAAAGCTGCTTTTAAATCCCAAACACTGGCAAAAATTACATTTTATCTAGGGCAGCAGTAGCTTGTCACCAACCAATAATTAATGACACAAGAGCAACAGCTTTAAACAACCACATATCAGGAATTTTTCAAGGTATCTCCATATTAATAACCAGAGATTTAAGATTTGTAAGCTGGGGTTTTTGTCCTAGAAAGAATAGTATACTTTATCCTTGCTTTATATTTTTCTAAACAGAAAATATTTTGCAGTCATTTTCCACACAATGTTTGTGTAGTTGATTCCTTCTTCTTAGTAATAAAGTCTAGCACTTGTCTTTACTGGATTCTATCTTAGATTTTTAGGCCAGTTGTCCAATTTTTTCAGCATAATTCTGAATTCTAATTCCATCTTCTAAAGCACTTGCTGGCTGAAAGCAACACCTTCTAGCCTGGGGTCCTCCTTCAAGCTTATAAAAGTACTGCCTATTCTCATTCAACTCATTAACAGAAACATAAATAGAGAGCATCTTATACCCTTTGGCTTTGTGTTCAAACAAAAACAAGCAAAGAAAATGTCATTCCACCAAATCCTCCTGTTGTACAGATTGGATATTGAGATGCAAAGCACACCCTCTCCTGTGTGAGCAGTAGTCCTGAGTCATCTGGTATCCATGTCTGGATACTGCTGAACCAAGCTGTGCCGGACTAGGGCCCAGCTATTGTGTGGTGTCTGCCTATAGGATGTAATTGTTTTTTATGCTGACCAGTAGCCTTAAAGATAATACACAAATGCAATTTAGAAGTTAATGTCAGCTGTGGACCACACCCAACGGGCATTTTATGGGATGCAGCTCTTTTGGTGGTGAAATTTTCCCTGTATGTATTGCTAGTCATGTCATGTCACTTACCCGTGGGGTTACTGTCAGAGCCCTGGTCTTTAAGCTTTTATCCCTGCTGGCTCTTTTCAAAAACAAAGTGCTAGGCTCCAGATGGGGCTAGAAATAGCTGCTTGGAAGACACTAAGTGCTAAAAGTTTTGGTTCCTTTCAGGCTGGAGTCATAAAAAAATGCAAAAGCAACTGGTGTGAGAGCCTAATGGAACATAAAGCTGTCAATATCTCTCCTTTGTAAGTAATAAAGAAGCTTTCATTCACATCAGATCGGTTACACAATTGAATGAAAACTATAGATATGAAGTCATGTGCTTTGAGGCTTTTTTCACCCTGAAGTGGGACTATCATCCTGCAAATGTCATATGTGACACAAGGCTCTTCATTAAATTGGAAAGAACAGCCTCATATCTGAACTCTGTAATGTGCAGTCTTTGAAAAGGATAATCACTGTGCCTAAGTGGGGACTGGATTTTAAAGAGAACCTATAAACTGTGGGCTTCAGTGGCACTGTGTGGCATCAATTCATACTGGCTGAACATCATAAAACAATGAACCTGAAATGCAACATATTTTTCATGTTAGTATTTTCTCACAATTTATGCAAAATAATAAAAAATATATTGATGGTTCAATTTCTAATGAGCCTCTGAATGCTGAAAGTGTTTTCTGTGATGGAAATACCTTAGTACCTAGAGGGAAAAAAAGTGAAAACAGGTATTTCACAGTAGATTTTACCATATTTACCAAAAGCAGTTCTATTTATCTGTGTTTTAGGACATCACAAGTTAATATTTAGGTGTTGCTGTTTAAGACAGTATTTGAGTGTTAGATATGAAATCCATATTCTGAGACTTGAAAATATTTCCTCAGAACATGAAATATACTGTTAACATCCTCATTCTTTCCACAGGATTAAAATAATTACTTTGGTCATGCAAAGGCAGAACACTGTGTACAAAGTTCACAGACTTCAGGACCTCAACCAAAACTGAGAACTAATTAACTCAAGGAGAAACAGTTTTGCCTGAAATACCTCAGGACATATAAAATACCATTCATTCTCAAGATTTTAGTAAGATTAGGTTAGTATCCTAGTGTTTCATTTTATACTTTAAATTATTTTTGTACAGATTTAGAAGCCATGCTAATTCCTTGATAAATATGCAGAGCTAGCTACGTATAGCTCAGATCTATCTGGAAGCACCCATGTAAATTGTCCCTCAGGCGGCTCTCTGCCCTGAATGCACTTTGAGGGTGTCTGTCTGTCTTTGAATAGCCTAGATGATGTCAATACTCAGTTTGAAGATTTAGGTCATTGTTTCCATTACCCATTGCCATCTGATTATGTTCACTGACTACTAAGGGACACCTCTTTTGCCCTTTTCTGTCAGGGGTCTGTTTTGGGTTAGCCTTGGCAGGCAGTGAGGCCCCTCACAGCTGCTCACTCCCTCTGATCTCCAGCAGGATGGGAAGGGAATGAGAAGGATAACAGTGAGAAAATTTACCAGTTGGGACAAAGTCAGATGAATAGGCAAAAATAAAACTGCTCACGAAAGCAAAGCAGAACAATGGAATCATTCACCATCTTTTAATTTTTTATACATTTTTTTTTGTTTGGTTTGGTTTTGTGGGAGGTTATTTGTTTGTTTCTGTGGCTTTTTTTTTTCTTGGTAAGGTATGATTTGTTTAACTTTTAGTTTCCATGGCATGAAAGCAAGTACTCTTAAAACCTGTCTATAATTAGTTTCATACACATTTGTATCATGTCATAAAAGTCACTAAGATTAATTTAATAATTTTTGGACTTAGTTGATTTTTAGGTATAAACCCTACATAATTCTAAATATTAATTGTTGGATACATTGATTTCAATAGACTGGAAAATGGAGCATATTAAAAATCCTGGTTACTACTTCTCCTAAAATTTTCCTACCTTTCCAATTTCAATTTTTGCTCATGATTAAGCTAAGTGTTAAGATTAGTGTTAACAGGAACTTCTTTGAACACTTCCAGTTTGCCAAGAACATTTGAAAGGATCCTTTCTGTGATTATGGGAATTATTTTCCATTAATATCCAGTTGTTTCTTCCTATTAAATAGTAATGCACATGGAACATTTGGGAAGCTATTATAATCTGGTAAGGTGTAAAGACCCTCTTATAGTCCCTCATTAGCCTGCTAATAACTCGACTTTGTCAAGCAGAAACTTGGTTTCTCCACTAGCAGAAACTAAGTTTAACAGACACACAGTGTTTTCTATAGAATCTCCCTAATGGAATGAGTTTCACTTTCAATCACTCTAAAACCATGTTTTACTGCTTTTTAAATTCCTTATCAGTATTTTTTTAAATTTCCTAAGTCATTCAGGATAATACTCTACTATAAGTAAATAATTTGTAATTCAAAAGTAACATCTTCTGGTTTGACTTTAAAAGATACATAAAGTACAAGACATTTGTTTGCCAAAGAGAGTTTTATCTAATAAGTGCAGGAAACCCCATTAAACTGTGTACCCTTGGGAAGAACATCCCATTCCAACTACAGAGCAATTCATCAAAAACTGATAATGCTGCTAGCAGGTTCTATCTTACATAGTTTCAGATGATGTCTCCTTTCATAATTTTAAACCATCTACCAATTTACTAATTATATATTCAGAAATAAACAGACATGTACTCAAAAAACTGAAATGGAACTACACAGTACCAGACCAATGCAAACACTCTTCCCAATTACTACAAATAAGACTCCCTAAAACAAAAGCATTTAAATCTATAGGTCCTGGACTTGTTCAATCCAATCTGTGGTGTACTTCATTTGGTGGAACAAATGTCCTTGTGAATGGAACATAGGTGCAATTAAATGAGTGCTGTGTGGTAAAATGAGCTCACTCAGGCAATTTGTAAAGGATGGAAATAGCCACTTAACAGTAGGACAGTATTTTTCATTCTCTTTCTGACTGCTCGTTCCTGATCCCCTAAGGAGTCCTACAGACTACCTTCAAAAGTTGAACCCACAGACCAATATTCTTAACTTTGCTTGCAGCTAAAAAGAATTGACTCAATAAAGATATTGGTTTAATGATCTGTACAGTTTTGCAGCTAGCCTGTACCGCTAATACTGATGTTAAAACCCCTTTTTCTGCCTCTGCTTCATATGAGCTACCAGCTTCTTACCTTTCTGGGTTTGATCAAGTCATTTGTGATTAACATAATTTCATTTAGATTGGAACAGCTACTCTTTTTTTTTTTTCTTTTTAGATCTGATGAGCATCGAGGCACTCTTGAGTCCAAAAGCTTGTGTCTGTGTTTCCCTCCACGTTTGTTGTCCCAATAGATATTTATTCTTCCCAGAACTACCTTTAAGCTAAACACTAATTTCTTGATAACAAAATGGGAAAGTAACAGCCAAAAATAACTGAAGGGTCCCCCTGTTATCAGAGGGCTCAGACCTTTTCTTTCTGCTAAAGGAAAGAAAATAGAAAGTTTTATTCTTGAGTCAGGTTATTTTGCTGTGATTTCTTGCTTGCTTGACCTAATCAGAATGCCTAGTGGCAAGCAGTGTCAGCTGAGGCAGTAAGTTAAACAGCTGAAACCTTCACTGTCTGGCAGTGTTCTATCCTCAGTAGGGGCTTCTGGTTTTACAGGCCTGGAGGGTAAGTTCCTGCACTTGAAAAACAGTTCAATAGAATCTCTGGAGGCAACAAGTTAATGACCAAAGATTTTAATGGTCTACAACAATTGATGAGTGTAAATTTAAGCTCTGTGGGACTTATCTGAGAGAAACTGATGAAAAGGTACTATGTGAAGGTAGCTGTTCCAGAGATAATGTCCACTAGGTATTGCACTATGTCTGAACTTGAAGAGTAAAGCAAGGCTGTAAAATCACCGACAATGTTCCTCAGGATGCAGCCAAGAAAGGAAATATTTATGGACTGCTTAGGTAGCTTTGGATCAGATGATGCTGAAGTGCATTTTTCAAATGGTTGCTGAAGGTGAGTTTGTCCCAGTGAAAATTTCAGACCAACAATGTTAATAATTTTTGTGTGTTCCGGCTGCAGCCTCCTTTCTGGTAAGGTACTGAAAGATGGTGATGAATCCATGAGTTATAATGCTGTGTTGGGTTTGTTTCTTGCAGAAGCCATTCCTGTAATCTTCTCCTGCTACGAAAGTTTGGCTATGCAAATCCAGTACAAATACCTGCAGATGTGAGCTGAAATCCACTTTATTGCGTTACTGTCAATAGGAAACAAAAGAGTGTAAAAGCTGCTAGTATGTCTCTCTTGCTAAAACTATTGTTAAAGGGCTAACCCAGATTGCTGTAGCTTGTCTAACTCCTCTACTTACTCCCTTTGCAAATGATTGGTCACATACTTAAATTTTCTGCTTTGAAGCATAGAGTGTAAAATAAGGTTGTCCATTCCAAATTCTCATTGGTTTAGCTGTGCCAGCTCTTTACATGGTAATACTGTTTATCAGAGAAACCTATTATTTACTGTATTTGAGATATTATTGTAAGCAGAGGCTTTTTCTTCCCTTTCTCTGAAAGAAAAAAAGCTTTAATGGACTGAATCTGTTGCTGTTGCTGCACTTGTTAGAGTAATTTCTTGTTAAAGACACCAATACGAAGGTATACAAAACAGAGTGGGGGAAAAAAGTAAATGGAGAAAATTATTTCTGTCTTCCTGAAATTGAATGATACTTGCAGCTCTCTTCCTGCAGATTTCCAATCTTACATCCTGTTCTTTGCCATGCTGACATGATCAAACCTGGAATGAGACTGTTAAAGACATTGTTTCCAGCTGCCTCTCTCATCACAATCTCACAGGAATGCTGGGAAATATACAGTTAGGGATATCTAAACCAGGTAATTATTGAAAAAGGAGAAATATCAAGGAGGAAATGTAAAAGAAAGAAATGACTGCACGTAGTTATCTTTTTTTTTTTTAAGTTCATCTCTAGGAGTTAGAACACTGACCTAATGCTGTCATAATGGATTTCAAGAGACAGCATTCATAGTTGCCATAATAATAGAGCTTCTTTACGGCCAGTTATCTTCTGTTCTAATTATAAATTAATGTCTCAAGCAAAGTATTTTAAGGGAATTTTCCCATTCTCTCTGGTTTTCCGTAGGGTTAGTTTGTTATTTTCATTTCAAACAGCATGAAAAACACTACTGGGGGGTCTGGCAATCTCTGTGCCCATTTATCTCCTTTTAAAATATGATTGAAACATAGTTGTTGGAAAAATGAAGAAACCTTGTTTTTGGTCTAGTCCAGCATCTCTGCTTGTAATTGCCACTGTCTTTTATAAGTAATTTCTACGGAAGTTTAAACTGACCAGCTTTGCATATTCATAAATAAAAGTTGTTAAGCATGAGTGATCCCAATTAACTTTCATACATCCTTTTTTGTTTTCCCCAGGTGAAGCTGTTTGCAAATTCAAATTCCTTCCCTGGTAACATAGTAGCATCCACAGTGCAGAAAAGAATAAGGGCAGTGTTCTGGAAACAGTTGCTCAGCATAGCCTCTGGAAAGGGAAATCCAACCCCAATGGGCGGCTGGAATTCTCTGAAGGTGCCTCTAAGCACAAGAAGAAATGACAACCATTTGGCTTTTATTTTTTAAAAATTTTCCTGAAAATTATGAAGAATGGATAAAGTGAATGCAGAACTGTTATTTTAAAAATATATCAATAATTAACCTATTGTGAATCAGGGACACTTTTTGAAACAATAGGAAATCAGTTTCAGCTAAACATAAGGAAGGTCGTATTAAATAAAAACACAGAAGAATAAAGCTTGCTTGATTTTGTTATTTCCTAAATGGTAAATAGTCCTGCTTTTTGGGGTTTTTTTCTCTCTCTCCTCCCTGTATAAAGAATTTGCAAGTCTAGGCAAGTCTGTTTGGCAGCAAGTGTTCAGTCATGCTTGTAATGATAGTTCTAATCACAATTCATGAGGTATCATGCATTCAGGTATGATTCATCCAACAAGAAAATATTCTGAAAAGAAGCAAAAATAAATTAAATGGAGTCTGGTATTCTAAAGGTTGAAGAAATGAATAGACTTGAGGTCATTTCCCTTCTATTCATAGCAGAGTTATTAGAGGACACATGGAGATTTGGGAGAGATCCCATCAAGGGGGGCAAAGGAATTGAAACACTAGAAGCAAGGACATTTGATGCCATGTAATAGATTTTTCTATATTCTGACTGTCTGTTCATGCCCACCCTGATTCCTTCTCCTGGCCCTGGATGCTTCATTAGGTATTAATAAGTTAGGAACTAATGGTAGCAGAGATTGGGCTGTTTGTGTACTTTCACTTTCTGTTGTGTTTTGTAAGATTATCAACCATTTGAAGTGACAGATTGTACTTTGTTTAGTGTTCAGTAGGATATTCTCTCACTCCTGTGTGGCCTATGGGTAAAAAGTATGGTGGGTTATTCAAATTGAATATTTGGCTTCTCCAGTAATTCCTAAAAATTTCACAGTTTGAAAGATAACAGCAGTTTGATCACTGAGCATCACATACGTAATAAAGATTCGTTACTTTATTAAATGCAGAAATATAAATGCTCTTGAGAAAGGTGTAATCAGCTTTCATCTCTGTCTGAGATATTTAACATCACGTGTTGTGCTGGAGCTACTTCTGTTTCCCTTTACTAACGATGTAGCAACGTGCAGATGGATAGCTTGAAAGTCACACACACAGGCTTGGAAAAACCTTTTAGTGCTTGCAGAATGTTCCTTCTGTCCCTCATTCTGTACTGATGACAGGAGAAATTATGTTTTAGTTCTAGTTTTGCAGAATATCCCTTGTGCTATCTGCTTGGTCCATTGCTTTCCCTGCTGGAACTCCTTCAGGCCTTTTAAATAATGTTCTTACAAGTAGAGAGAACAAATTTTAGGAGCTACTTGAGGAGCATAGTATTTCACACCTGATAAAAAATTTGGCTTTTTAGTTCATGTTCGTACAATGCTGTTAGAAAAATATTATGCTTTCTCCATTTTGGTATGCTTTATAATTAGTATCTTAAATAATATACCTCATCGACAGCGAATAGATTTGCTAAGTCATCAAATGAAATGAAAATTCTTCAATTTTTTTCCTGCTTCCAAAAAGAGGATAATCCTGTTAATTTAATTTTTTCAAGTACATGCATTTTACTTTTTTTCTTTAACAAAATCTCTGTATGAGCATTTTAAAAAAAATATTTAAGAGACATACACTAATGCACATGTTTTTGTAAATAACAGCAAAGCAAGATACTTTAGTACAAAGCTGTGTTTTGGTTGAAGATTGAAATCCTTTTGTAATGATAGTACTTATATTTCCAGAAAAGCATCAAAGTAATTGTAAAATAACACATCTATACTTATTTGTTTTAAAATGATGCCTTCTAAACAACATGAAATCTTTCAGGAAGATATTTCTCTAATACATATAAACCAGTGGACTGGAAGATATTTTTCTTGACTATATAAAAAATTGTATGTATGTAAACAATAACCTAATTTCACACACACATACAGAAAGAAAAAAAAAGGGTCATACAAAGTTATTGAGCTGTTAATTACAGAATGTCTCAAAAGCAAAGTCCCACTTGTTTACCTCTTCATTTTTCTAATTTACTTCACACAAAATAGCAAAACTAGACCAAGTTATTCCTGGTACAATTAGACTAAATTCCACACTAAAATCAGAAAGAATTAGTTTGACTCTGTATTAACAGGCTAAACTCCAAAAATCTCTTCTGAAGGAAAAATACAACCAGCCTCATGCTATATTAGAAGTACAATACATTCTTTCTAAATTTTTCAAAAAAACACATCTTGGGCATATATAAACATTTTGAGTTGTTTTCTTTTTCCATCTCAATGTGTAATTTTTGTCACTGGAACCTTTCCAGAGGGAAAACTTTTCCAACACATCACAGCATCAAAATACTTTTCAAAATGTTGCATTTAACTAACATCTTTGGGGTACTCTATAAAGAGCAGTTTACTACCTACTTTGCTGTATGGATATAGGGACAAGTATCAATCATCTGGGTAGGCTCTGTTAGACCACAGATTTGTCTCTGAAGAAGAATTTTTGAAAATTCTGTATTTGAAGTCAGAGCAGTTATATATATAGAAACTTTGGTATTACAAAGAAATCCTATGTCTAAAATGACTTAGTTTTTAAAAAAAATTAATAGAGGTGGTATATTTCATTGGAGTATTTTTCCTGGGATAAGACAATGCCCCCAAATATACGGTTTCATGAGTAAAAATATTTATTTGCTACATAATTGGAATTCTCTTAGAAGAATAATCAGAAGTGTCTTCTGAGGCTTATGGGCAAAACGTATTTTGTTGAGAGACTGACAACTTCTTCTGTGTCACTCTACTTAGCTTTCATTGAATTATGAAGATGAGAAGGCTGTCTCAAAACTAGACAGATGTCTGTCAAGAACTTAAGTCTTCATCAAAATATGTTAACAGGCACCTCAAAAATAAGATTCTAGCAGGCTTGGGGAAGGAGAAATAAGAAAACATAATTATCCTCTATTATCTTTGATTTTATTTTAGTCAAGAGGGTTAAATTTATCCTACCTAGCTGAAGGCAAGAAATGAGGACCTGACTGCCAAAACTTCATTGGAATCACCAAAGAAAGAAATACAGCCATTTTAAAGAGGCTGATTTACATCTGAAGTCAACTCAGCTTCAGGGTGGTTTTTTTTTGGATGTATTTGCCACTTTTACATGAACTGCGGAGGGTCTCAAGGTTTATCTGGATTTAAAAGCAGGATGAGACTATTTTCTCCCTGAATAATAAGACATGATTTCAATGGGGCATTTCTTGACCTTCAAGTTTCCCTTCAGAAGCAGAGAAGCATTATGGAGGGAACTTTCTGGCTTTGTAGGAGAAGAAAGGTGATGTGACCCTGCTGATAGCACTCTGTTCAGGGAAGTTTCTTTATGTCCCAGAGTGTGAACTTAGGTACAGTCCTGTGCTGCTCTCAGCTGAAAGGTTGAGTAGTGCTTGTGGTTTGGCCTTTGGACAATTCACCAGTAACGATGCAGAAAACAGGACTAGATCATGCAAATTCAACAGTATTTTAAGATTCACTGGAGAGAGCTGTTGTTCTGAAGTATTGCACAGTTGACTCAATACATATCAACTTAAAAAATAGAACCTGAAAGAAATCTGGCCCGCTGTACTGAAAATGCAAGGGGCATTGATTCCTTTGTCTAATTGGAGTTGACTGGTGACACTGGAGGTAGACAATTTGCAATATCTATCCTGGTTGCTGCTAGTCCAGACCTGGAGTCCCAGGTCACCCCTTGGTCCTGTGTCTTATCTGCTGATTCCTATGTCTCGTATACCCTAAGGCATACCCTAAAGCATGTCAGATGTGATGACATGCCATTGCTCATGTTTAAGTCATATAAATGTGCCCAAGTGTCTGGTCTGCTGAATATATTGTCTGTAATTGCCTTTGACTTTAATTGAATCTTAAACACCCACCCTACCTGTAGATAACTGCATTTCTTACTGAATGCTGAATCCAATTTGTTGTACTGAACTAAGATAAATAATTCTGTGTAAGCTAATTAAGAGCACCATAAGCGTGCTGGTAAACAGTCTGTTGACAGGTTGGGCAAACTGAATTTTCCATACACGTGGCCTGCTTGAATAGAAACAAAGACATTCTCTTTTCTGATGACAAGGAGACACTTGAAAAGAAAGACTGGGATTGATAATACAGCAAGATTTAAAAAATATCCAGAATATTATATTTTGTATATTTTTTTGTATTTCCTTTGTAGTCTAAAATTTTTGTATTGCCTTTACAGTCTAAAATCTTTATATTATCAAAACTCAGCATAAATTAGAAGATTTTTTATTTATTCTGATTTTTAATGATTATTTCAACAGGTATTTTTAAGAGAAGAGTTGGACTGTGATGCTGAGATCCATATTTCAGACATCTTCATTTAGCTGACTCTATTTAAAAGACTTCATGGACAACATTATTTTAATTTGAATGATCAAAAAACTACTGTATTTTAGCAATATTTATGAAGACATTGATAATACAGCCTTTCTTTCCTTTCTCAGTATACTTGAAGGAATTTTAAGGGACTACTCAGTTTCATACAAGAGGAGAAAAAACCCATGACAATAAAGTCCAAATCTTTGCTATTTCTAGTCTAATTTACTTTTTTATGAATTCAAATGATGTGTGAAATAGAATACAGACTGTCTTGAATAGGTGAAGTTATGAACTATGACTATGCAAGCAGAAAAAGCAACCAGCTTCCAAAGAATTTTCAGGGAAATAGCTGAAATATCAATCTGTTTTCCTTGCAAATTCAGGATTGGACTTTGAATAGGTTGAGATTTGTAGATCCCTAGAAAATGTGGGTAGAAGTAAAGCTTACTGGTCTGAAAAAAGTTCACATTGTAACAATTCAAAACTTTTCTGTTAGTTATCCTTACTCTTTTAAAATATCTTTTATGGAAGAAGCCCTCTCTAAATGAACAGGAATCCATAGAGATAATGGGATCTGCCTCCATGGAAGAGTTCACAAACTAGGGTCACTGATGCCTATTAAAATTTACTGGAACAGTGCTATTAACTAAATCAATATTCACTCTTCATTAATACAATGTGCACCTCTACAGCAATTGTTTGTCTCTGGGAGTATTGATTTGTGACCACTCGACCCCTCATTTTTTCTGTGTTTCTCTATGATAGGAATATTTATGCCTCTCACTTAGTCCATTGCTTTGTAGTTAGAAAAACACAAATACAGTGAAAGATATGTGGTTTGGTATGTAGCCACAAGACACATGCTATCACCTTGTTCCACTCAGTCAGGAGTTCCCTGTAATACTTACTGCTGGATGGTTTAGTATGTAGCCACAAGACACATGCTATCATGCTATCACCTTGTTCCACTCAGTCAGGAGTTCCCTGTAATACTTACTGCTGGTTATAAACAGGAATCTCAGTCTCTCTGAAAATCATTGCTGGGAACACTTCAGCAATTTTATAAATCATATATGTTTCATTAGAAGATGAAACAGCAGCTTACATTCCAAGCATTTATGCTGTTTGTAAAGCTGTCATCCCTGGGTTGTTGTAAGCATCCATTACTGATGATATTAGGCAGGTTATATGTGTTCTGTTTAGTTACAGGTACCATGAGCTCTC